TTTCTAGGTACGGTGCAATGGATGAAGAAGTTCATTTGGGGTCTAGAAAAATACGTGAATAAGTTGACACCCCTCACCAGTACGAAGCTTGACCCGAAAAAGTTTAAGTGGGGAAAAGAAGAGGATGATGCATTTCATAACATTAAACACCTAATGACATCACTACCTCACCTAAAGAACATTGACTTTGAATCCGATGATCCTCTGTGGCTCTTTACCGACGCAAGTGGAGCAGGTTTGGGTGCCGCACTGTTTCAAGGCAAGGAGTGGAAGATTGCATCGCCGGTAGCATACGAATCAAGGCAAATGACACCAGCTGAGCGTAACTACCCGGTACACGAGCAGGAACTTTTAGCGGTGATGCACGCACTCCATAAGTGGAGGATGCTTTTGCTTGGTATGAAGATCAACATCATGACCGATCACCACTCGTTGACTTATCTGTTGAAACAGAGGACTCTTAGCAGGCGTCAGGCAAGGTGGATCGAGACTCTAGCTGATTTTGATGTAGACTTTAAGTATGTGAGAGGTGAAGATAACAGTGTAGCGGACGCCCTGTCGAGAAGAGACATCGACGAGGAGGGAGTAGATTGTGTAGCAGCTTTGTTAGAAGGTGGACCGATGCTATCACCTCAAGTACGCAAACGCATACTTGATAGCTACGATGGTGACTCATTTTACAGTACGGTAACAGCAGTTCTGCCCCTACGAGATGACTGCATTGTGGTAGACGGCCTTTTATATATTGAAAACAGGCTTTACATTCCTTTCACCGGTAATTTGAGAAATGAACTGATAGATGAGACTCACTCACGCTTAGGCCATTTAGGATATCTAAAGACGATCGATGACCTTCGACGAGAATTCTTTTGGCCGAAGATGGCGAAAGAAGTGAAGGGGTTTGTGCAGTCTTGTGACACATGCCAACGGACGAAAGCTTCGACACAGGCTCCGGTTGGAAAGATGCTCACACCTTCCATTCCCCAGCTACCCCTCGAGTGTCTTGCCATCGACTTCGTAGGACCGCTTCCCAAAGTTAACAATTATGACATGATTCTAACTTGTACCTGCAGACTGTCCGGTTTCACGAAGACCATACCTTGCGCTCAAACCGACAACGCCGAAAAAACCGCCTCACGATTCTTCTCTTCTTGGATTGGCACCTTTGGGGCACCGGCGTCGATCATCAGCGACCGAGACAAGTTGTGGACGTCAACCTTCTGGAAAGCCTTGATGCGTCGATGTGGCATAAATTTTCATATGACAACGGCCTTCCACCCACAAGCTGATGGAAGGAGTGAGCGCACCAATCGCACGGTGGGACAGATTCTTCGTACCTTCACAACAAAACGCCAAGGCAAGTGGCTCGAATCGCTCGCTGCAGTGGAATACGCGATCAATGGAGCGATGAACGTATCCACAGGTCGAACTCCATTTGAACTTATCTACGGTCGACGTCAACGCCTACTTACAGTACAAGAGGGGGTAAGCACTGACCCACCATCCCTTACCAAATGGTTCAACAGTCGACGTGACACCTGGATGTCGGCACGAGACGCATTATGGTCCAGTCGGGTACAACAAGCCTTACAGCATAATAAGCGCTGTCGCACGGTAGACCCCATCTCGCCTGACTCGTGGGTCCTACTGGACAACTCTGATTGGCGTGGTAGACATCAAGGTGGAGTAGACAAGCTTAAGGAAAGGTTTGAAGGCCCGTATAAGGTCGTCAACACAACTAATCACGGACAAAACGTGGAACTGGAGCTTTTGGAAGGCGATAGACGACACAATGTCTTCCACATCTCAAAGATCAAACCTTATGTCGAGCGCGAAGGGGAAGGGATCGAGGCGCTGAGTGAAGGAGTCCGGAAGTAAGTTCCTCTCCCCTGTATGCACCGCCGTAGTATACTACGTAAATTGTCAAAAAAAAAAAAGCAACGCCTAGGCCACTCTGTGAGCACAACCAATTCGACATTCTCCCATTAGATGTCGAAGGCGAAGGACGACGACAATGGCAACATACATCAAGAAATTCCCTCGACCCGACAATTACTTCAATTTTAGATTTCCTTTTTTTTTCTTTTCTCTTCTTTCTTTTCTTTTTTTTTACTCTTTTCTTTTTCTTTTTTCTTTTCACTTTTGATAAAGCTTATTAATTCAACTTTCAACACTTGTTATTTTTTTTTCTTTTTCTTTTAACTTCAGACATTTTGGTTATTTTTTTTCCTTTTTCATTTTTTCTTTTCACCAAATCATGGGGCATGCTTTGTTCCTTTATAGGAGGGGAGACTGTAAGACCTACGGTCATTACTTAGACACGTAATTGCACACTTAAATATTAACACTTAAGACCTAATTTCATTTACTATATTTACTTATTGTTGTTTCATTTCTACCGATGGTTCCTTAGAGATATCGGGACTGATATTCGCCCTCTATCCTTTGGAACCAGGTATAGTTTCATTTCATATATATATTTCTTTTCTTTCTAAGTTGTTGTAGTGTTCTTATCCAGACAGAGATATCGGGACTGATATTCGCCCTCTATCCTTTGGAACCAGGTTTAGTAATACAAATCAGATCTCCTTGGGTTCTAGAAAACCTCTTACTGTGCCTCACAGTATCCCGTCTCGAAGTATCCAGTGAAGGTTCTATTTGAACCTTACAAATACTAACTGATTTTTATTTTAATTACTGAATTGAAGGACTGGTGAGCTCCGATCCCGGAAATTCCAAAAACTTCTCAGTTTTGATTGATTCCCCTTGGTGAGTCTTCTTGCTGACACTACAAGAAATATAATATTTTCTGGGCAGAAAATTAAATTATTGATACACAAAAATATTGAGAGGCCAGGCAAAGGGCAAAAAATAAA